TAAGGACCACCAAACGCAGTGCCCAAACACGAATTAAAGAACATCAACCAGAGAAGTCAGCCATAGCAGAGCACCTGATGAACCAACCTGGACACAGAATATTATTTGAGAACACAGAAATGCTGGACCACTCTAACAACCACCATGTCAGGCTACACAGAGAAGCCATTGAAATCCACAAGCATGTGGACAATTTCAACAGAAAGGAGGAAACCATGAAAATGAACAAAATTTGGCTACCAGTATTAAAAAACTCTAAAATTACAACAGCAAAAAAGAGAGGAAACAATCTGGGACATTAATCACCTCTCAACAAAAGATTGCCCCAGGTACTGCCAGGCCATCAAATGCTAATCAAGGTGGTCAGTTGAAACATTCACACCTAGCTCCAGCAAAAACTACCTTTGAGGATGCTTGCCATAGATGCAGGCAGAACGTCAGGAGAGAATGCATCTAGAACATGGCCATATAGCCCGAAAAACCCTACAACAACCCAGTGATTTCGGCCATGAAAAGCCTTCGACAATACAATAACTCATTTTTAAGGTAGCCTTTTTCTTGCCCTTGCAGGCAAAGATTTCCAGTTTAAATATTTCATAAATTAGAAGTGTACTGTATACAGTTTTTCATTTTACTATTGAACAATGTTACCACAAACATTTGGTTACAGTATATGCTACAATATTTTTTTCCAAAAGAAATCAGTATTGTCAAGCTTTCATGAAGTACTTTTTAAAAATGCAATTGACTTAATCCTCAAAGTGAACCTAGAACAGTCAAATATTCTGAAGGATGGCATCAAAAGTAACATTTGTATATTAAATATGTCCACTTTCAGCCAACCCTGCCTATTAAGTCAAACTATAAAAGCAAGAAAATATTACAGAAAGAAAATAGGGGTATTGATTTTGTAATCATTTCTAACCATTACTCAAAGAATATATGTATGTGTATACTTTATTTAGACCATCAATTAATTACAGCAAATAACAGAAAATGGAAATGACATGAAATAAATCCTATAATGGCCATCTACTTTGAGTAAAAAGCAAAATCCATTCATCAGTAACATGGGTGCTAGATAAATTTTCTTTTAACTTTAATGAGAAAGAAGAGTTTTTGTTTCACCTTGTAAATAGCTCCAGGATTCAGGGCTTTTGTTCTCTTTCTCTAGCCAGCCTATTTCTATTCCTGCCCAGCAGCCCTAATGCCCTCTTTGCCAGACAGTCCACAATACACTACTGCATCATTCTGCTTCAACATCTAGAAAACATGAGTTGAACCATACTCATTTCCCTTTATTTCATAAGTCTACTGCAGTGCTATTTCAAACTCACAAACAACAATACCGAAACAGTGGAAAAAGATGGACAAATATCACTAATCATCTGCCAAGTTAAGGAAATCAAATTTATTTATTATTTGAATACCCCATATTTTACCCATGAAACCCCCCCCCCCCCCCCCCCCAGTCAACAACACAGTTTTTCTCTAAATGTTTCTTATGTTTAGGAGGATAGGAGCCCTCGGTGGTGCTCTGGCACCACAAGATGCAAAGCCAACTTAAGAAATGGGGCCACGAAGTGGAGTCCACAACATGTGAGTGTGGAGAAAAGCAAACCATGGACCACCTATTACAATGCAATCTGAGCCCTGCCACATGCACAACGGAGGACCTTCTTATAGTAACAACAGAGGCACTCCAAGTGGCCAGCTACTGGTCAAAGGACATTTAGTATAAAGCCAAACTTATAAACTTTGTTTATGTTTTTTAAATACATTACAACTGTACCCTTTGTTTGCTTCTGATATGATAAATAAATAAAATGATGTCAAATTGCATTCATTCCACAGTGTAAATGCAACATAAATTACTTTAGAAGTATACCTGAGTAATGAATAAGATAGAAGTGCAGCTTAAAAATCAGTATTTTTAGTAACTGCCTTTTAAAGGGTTGTTTTGACTAAACCTTGCCCATAGCTTCACAGCATCAAGAAAAATAGAAGAATCAAGTAACTATGGATATCCAAGAAGGGCTTTGTCATTCCCTACCAATGTCAGGCTACAAAGAAATAATTTCTGATGCATTACCTCTACATTCAGAAGTTGGGCCATACATAGTGTCCAAAGTAAGGGGCAGCATGTAATTTGGAACTCTGATTTCTCTTAATGCCAATTTAAACTACAACAACAGTCCATAAAATTCCAGTTGCTGGGGCTTAAACAACAAGTGGAACACACTATATAAATATTTCTGCACATGTGCTCCATCATGCTGCATTAATTTAAAGCACTCGGAGCATCTATGGTTGCCGTGATGCTCAATTTAACACAAGTGTGGGCCACTACTATGGGGCAGGGGGCCACTCCCATCCTATTTTTCACCCTCTCAAGATCTTGGTGTGCTGAACTTCCACCCTGCTCACTTCTATCCAGATATTTCGGACCCAAAAGACATCTGGAAAGGGAGCAAAATACTCTGTAACTGAACAGTTCTCTTCTTCAGAGCAGTGGTTTCCAAACTCTGGTCTTCTAGGTTTGTTTGGTGTTTTTTTTTTTTTTTTGAGGGGGGCAGAAGCTCCATCGTTTTGTCAGGAATTCTGCGAGCCGAGGCCCAAAGCATCTGGAGAAGCAAAGTTGGAGAACCACTGCTCCAGAGGCACATCTGGCCATTTTAAGATCTAGTTGTTTTTCACCATGGAAGGAACTAGTAGTAAGTTTCAAGGAGGCCCTGCGAGTTACAGGAGCTCTCGTACAACTTGCCCAAGAGAAACTTATAAACAGTCAATTTTCTGATTTGCAGGCAATCTGAGCAAAGCTACCCTAATGTATATATGAAAATATGAACAATCAAGCTAAACCATTCCAAAGAATATATATCTCTTTCCCCTGTGCATTACTTCTGGGGAAGAAAAATATTTGGCAGACAAAGCCCATAGAAGAGTAAGTAGCAGGGATGTCACCAATATTCAAAACACTTTTTCAAGTGTTAGTCTGATACGTTTGAAGTCTTCTTTGAAGCAAAAGACAGCTAAAATTAGAATCCAAGCATATTTTCCTATAGTCTTGCCTGACAATACCCACTGCCATATTTATGACACTTTTGACAGCTCAACTAGATAAAAAAATCAAACCACAGCAGCACCAAGACATATCATTTTCATGTCATCTTTCCATGCTACTTTTTGAGGTGAAGAAAAAATCACTTCCAGAGGCACAGAACAAAAAGTATTGCTTAAAAAAATAAGTGAATTATTTTAAAGATCAAGATCAAGGAAAATATTTCATATAAAACGCTCCTAAACATTTAGCCCATAGGAATCATCCAACTGGACATGTATTTCCAATGACTGATTTTGTTTTCTAAATAATGATACAATCTAGTTCAGGGGATTTCACAGCTGTTCATAATGGTATTTGAAGGATGTTAATATCAAACATTTTCAGAGTATACTGGAAGCAGCATATTCATTAATCATAAGTCCAATGGATTATCCCTAGTGTCAGGACCATAGGGCAAGATGAGGATGGAGAGGAGGATCTCCTCTCAGCAGCAGAATCTGAGCCCAAGGGGGATGAACAGCTGACACTGCAGATATTGCTTCTGCTAAGTAGGAGCAGGACCCTCCAGGAAGAAAGGCAACTGAGTCTAGACAGAATAAGGAAGAGCAGGGCTTAACTTTCCCTGCCTGGCTCTAGCTCAGGGTGCATACCATTCAGCGGTGCAGATCCAATTGGTTGGTCCAAAAAACAGAGATTGCAACTGTAAGGACTTTTGCAGGAGCAGAATAAAGGGCTCGCATTCACAACAGCTCTTTGGTAGAAGTAATCATCATGCATGGAATGTTTCAGCCAGTAATTTTAACCCTTGGACTTTGTGTGTGCTTCATGTTTGGACATTTGGTACACCCCTTGTTATTGACCTTTGGAATTGACATTTGGATTCTCTTTGTGCCTTGGACTCTATTTGAACTGATTCTGTCGTGACCTCAGACTACTCCTGACTACTCTCGCAAGGAACGGCTGCAGCTCCCTGACACTTGGGGTGCATCTACACTGCAGAATGAATGCAGTTTGACACCACTTTAACTACCATGGCTCAATGCTAGGGACTCAGTGGAATTGAAGTCTGGCGACGCACCAGTACTATTTGGCAGAGAAGCCCAAAGACCTTATAAAACTCCAGTTTCCAGGTCTCCACAGCATTGAGTTATGGAAGTCAATGAAGGATCAAACTGCATTCATCCTACAGTGTAGATGCAGCCTTAGTATGGACCAAGGCATGTGACTTGGCCAAATTATTCAAATTTGTTTTGGGTTCTGAATTTTTCCAAAAACAGTTGATCCAGTAGCCTATGACAATGTGCTCCATTAGAAACCATGGCAGAGACGTGTAGACGGAAAAGGGTATGAGCACTGAGCAATACATACTCCTTTGGCCTGAGACACCTGTTTTCTGCCTTCTAGGTGCATTCATCAAATATTTTCAGGCAGTTTGAAGATGGGAGAAGAAAGATGCACTCCACCGGCAATTGAAAGCCAGTATAATGAGGCCTTGGATCAGACAAAACTACATACTTATCCACTACCCCTGTTACTAAAGAAATGTTTCATCATTTTTCCTACTTAGCTTATTTTGTAAAAAGGAATGAAAATCCTTTTTGACTTGAAAATCCTTTTGACTATGACTTGGGTGCCCAAGTTTTGATTGCAGAGCAGAACTTCTTTCTCTCCTCTGTAGCCTTCTGAATCCCCAGAAGGAAAGAATATGAAATTGGGGGGGGGGGGTGGATGTGGGACAGCAAGACTGGGATGGGAGACTATATGTCACATCATTGGTGTTAAAGAACTAAAAAGTATGTAACTATTAAAAATAGAATGCCCTTACTTTTCTTCCTAGTTATCCACATACAACATTGTTTCAAGAGTATTGGAAAACAACAAGATGCCTGAGTTTTTATATGAACAATATAGGAGAAATATAGTTAAGTTTCCTTACCTCATCTAAATCTTTAATATAAACTGGTTTTTCCTCTAAACCAATAGGCATTGGCTCACTGTGTGGAATTTTTACTTCTTCATACATTTTATTATTTTCTCTCTCAATACCTTCTGGCAGGAGCATCTGTGAAAATTAAAGAGAAGGAGAAGGAGGAAACTTAGCTAAAAATAATGAGCTGAATGCATAATGTTTTGAAACTTTTCCACAAGCAGGTGAAAGTCTGCTTAAATCTGAGTCTGAAAAATAAAATCTTTAAAGTATTTATTAGTTAGCTGTGCCCATAGCTAGGTATATGGTATCTAAAAATGAGCAAAACATAGCCCCAGAATTCCAAAAAATAATCAGTTTAATCCCTACCACAATTTTTGTAAAGTGTTAGGGTAATGAAATTGGAAATAAGGGACCCAATTTTACTTTAAGATTCTCTGCTATCTCTCTTAAAAGGGAGAGATCAAAATTAGTGAAACTCTGTGAGGAACTAGGGATATAATAGCAGAGCACCTGATGAACCAGCCTGGACACAGCATATTATTTGAGAACACAGAAATGCTGGACCACACCAACAACCACCATGTCAGACTACACAGAGAAGCCATTGAAATCCACAAGCATGTGGACAATTTCAACAGAAAGGAAGAGACCATGAAAATGAACAAAATCTGGCTACCAGTATTAAAAAACTCTAAAATTACAACAGCAAAACAGCAGAGAGGAAACAACCAGGCACATCTTAACACCTCTCAACAAAAGATTTTCCCAGGCTCAGCCAGGCCTTCAAATGCTAATGAAGGTGGTCAGTGGAAACATTCACACCTAGCTCCAGCAGAGAAGAGCTCCTTACCCCACCCCAGCCATTCCTCAGATATATAAACCCATTGTCCTAATTCCAACAGACCTCACTACCTCTGAGGATGCTTGCCATAGATGCAGGCGAAACGTCAGGAGAAATGCCTCTAGAACATGGCCCTATAGCCCGAAAAAACCCACAAGAACCTAGTGATTCCAGCCATGAAAGCTTTCGACAATACATTAATTTGAGTTTATTTGCCATTGTATGTTTATTTGCCATTATGTATTTTGATCCATACTCTACTAAAATTAAGGGAAAGTTTGGATTGTATATCATGTTTGCAGGCTCTGATCTGAAATGAAAGCTCATCATAACTGCTTCCAACTATGTATGCAGTATTACACTATAATGAAAGTAAAACACAAAGACAGGTATAAAAGCACAAGGACGAATAAATCAAAATTGGTTGCAAGGAGAGAAAATGTAAAGTTGGATCATTTTCTTGATCTTTTTACTGTAGCTAAAAGATCAAGAATGTTATTAATAGCTTTAAAGGACAGATAATAATTTAGTCTACTTTTGGGTTCTAATTAACTGGAATACTAAAACCAAAAATTATAGTGCACATTCCATTATTTAACTGGGAAAATCCTAGAATAATGTAACCTTTCTCTCCGTGTGTGTCTTCATTTATGGTGAACCCAGGAATTTCTTAGGCAATGAATATTCAGCAATATTTTTGCAATCTCCCTCCTCTGAAGTATAGCCGACAGCACCTGGTATTCTGTGGCGGTCTCCCTTCCAAGCACTAACCAAAGCTGACTCTGTTTAGCTTTCAAGATCATATGGGATCTGTAACCCGAGAGATACTAAAACCTGTACAGTTCTACTCAGGAACACATCTAATTTAGTACCATAACATGGAAGGTCTCAACAACACGTACTCTGTAGTATATTTAAATATAATTTCACCAGTTCCATTTTCAATATTTAAAGAAAAACAGCTGAATATAGTTAAAGGCTGCCAAGGGCTCAAAAGCACTTCATTGGAACTAATAGTGGTGAATGAAGTTAGATCCCCCTGGAGTTAGGAACTGATGTCTGCCATCAAGATCACCAAACACATATGTTTATTGAATGGGGGCAAATAGAATTAAATACATTGTGAGAAAAAGTATTGCTTCTTCAGAGAAAAAGGAGTTGTATGAAAACTGGTCCATACTAGTACAGTCAAGCTTGTTGCTCAGTAAGTAGCCCCACCCAGCCAGCATACCTTTGATCCCCCAATAAATGATGAGGTTTTTCTAGCTTCAGCTTGTGAATCATAAACATGAGGGTAATGAATTTTTTCATATTCCATGTCTCGATGTCTGCCTAAAGTTGGCACTGAGCGAGCATTCTGAAGTGCTTGTTCCCTGTAATCACAAAATAGGCACAAAATTATTCATCTTACAAACAAACTAAGCTAAAATATACGGTGTATTTTAAAGAATATTTTAAATAGAAAACAATATGCCAAACAAACCAGAAACTATTCCCACTTCAGAGTTGTAGAAACAACAAAGGCACATAATGGACCCATAGAAAGAATTAAAGACCCCCAGACACTTTCACATACCCTTTTCTGCCTTTTCTGACTGACCTCTATGATGAGGAAATTGAGTTTATTTATATCACCTTTTCCACAAAGGGGTAGAATATCACCATACATAATCAGGGACAAGGGTGACAAAACATACCAGTATGATGCAAGTACTAGTGATGGCTTAAGCAAAGAGAAGGGGAGTATACCTATTTTCTACCAGGAAACTGAAGTGTATTCTCTAGGGAGGAAAGGGGCTTTATCCCTCCAGATGTTCTGGACTACAACTCCCACAATTCTTGACAACTGGTTATGTTGCTGGATGGAGTAAAATTTCAAAATGTGAAGAGGGACAAACAGTCATCCATCCTAAAAGCTGTCCTCTTTCATTGGCATCATGAGTTAAGCACAGACATGAGCTCCAGTCTGATGAGGGAAACTGAGGGATGCTCGAGTTTTTATAACAGTTGAGGGTCTCTACTCTTCATAGCATTCATTAACTATTATCCACTTGTAACTAAAATCACAGGTTACTTCCAACATCTGCATGTCTAAAGTGTATTGGATAGATTGCAAAGACTATAAGGAAGTAGATTGTGTTTGTGCCTGTTTTATTCTTTTAAAAAGTAGGATTCTTATAAAAAGGGTTAGAGTTTTAATGAAACATAAGGACTTAAGCAATTACGAACACCTAAAACTGGGATAATAGTGTGCAGAAGTCATTGATACTATGTATGTGTTTAACTGTTAGAGTATATATTTGTGTTTGTTACAGTAGCTAAAACTAGAGTTATCTGGTTTGAATCCACAGTGAGCGTTGCCAAGGAGACCAGGCAGGCTAGCTCAGGAGAGTGAGAAGTGGGCGGAGCCAAGCAGGAAAAGTTATGTGCGTCTTTGGAAAAGGGGCAGTGTGGAGGCTTGAAAAGCCTGGGAGAGAGGTGTGTGTGGGCAGCTGGAGGTTTTTCAGTCTAGAAGGGCTGAAGAGAGAAACCTGGCCAGTTTCTTTAGTCAAGGAAGACTAAAGGAAGCTTTTTAAGATCCCTAGTCAAGGAAGGACTAGAGATCAGAGATTTGATCAAGAAAAGATCAAATTGGAAGGCTATCCATAGTAGGAAACATTGTTCACTAAAGAGCTTCACCTCAGTAAAAGTTAGCCACGAGCTGTGTTATTTGGAAGAGTGGACTGTATTACAAACCAAGTGATATTCAAAGTTCTATAAGTCATTTAACAACCTGCAACCATACGCTTTGTACACAATAAACTTGTTATCTTTTTTTTTTTTTTAAATATATTTTTATTGAGTTTTATGTTTTATCACAGTCCGATGATAGCAAAACGTGCAGGGGAGGAAGAAACGGTATGGGGAGGGGGGGTAGTTGGTATGGGGTGGGTACTGGGGGAGAAAGTGTAGAAAGAGGTTCGTGCCCCACACCAAAACAAAAAAAACAAAAAAAAAACAGCCCCTCCCCTTCCCCCCTCCGCCCTCGTGACCTTAAGTCTTCAGTTCCGTTCTGTGGTGCGACTTCCCAAGGTAATCCATGAAGTTTCCTTATGCGATGGGAAAATGTCCTTGTTCATCTTTCAAGCTGGTATTTCTTCTTCCTACTTATTCCTTGTTTAGATGCTGGTCAGGTCAATTATTGTTGGTACTTCTTTTGTTTTTATGTAGTCCTTAAAGTCTGTCCAGTCCGTTCTTCTGGTCGTTCCGTTAATTCTCTGGGATAGATCATCCATTTGAATGATGTCGAATGCTTTTAAGATCCAGTCCTCCTGAGTTGGGGCTTCTTTTTGTTTCCATCTTCTAGCAAGCACCAGTCTTGCCGCTGTGCTTAGCAGAAATAGGGTTTTTTCTTGATTTCTATTCAGTTTGATTTCGTTTTGTATTCCTAATAGATATGTTTCCGGGGTTTTTGGGAAGTTGATCTTTAATATTTTTTGAATAGCCTGGTGTATCTTTCTCCAATACTGCTTGATTTTCCCGCAGGTCCACCATTGGTGGTAGAAGGTGCCTACCTCCTTTCGGCATTTCCAGCATCTGTCTGATACGCTTCTGTTAAACTTCGCTATTTTCTCTGGTGTGAGTGAGATACCAGCGGAAGAACATCTTGTACCAGTTTTCTTTAAGATCACTGGCTATGGTATATTTAATTTTAGTAGTCCAGATTTCCTCCCACTGGCTCATCAAGATGCTGTGTCCTATGTCCTTGGCCCACTTCACTTGGCATTCTTTAACTTGTTCTTCTTCCATATTCCACTGTAATAGCTGTTTATATAGTATTTTTATTAATTTTTTGTTTTTCTCCATAATGATATCCCATGTTCCTTTTTCTTGGTTGAAACCCAATTTTTCATCTTCTTTAAAACCCTCCCTTAATTGGTAATAATTTAACCATGTAAGTTTTCCATTCAATTTTCTGATTTCCTCAAAGGATTTCAGTTCAATTTTTCCACCTTCCCTTTTTTCTAGTATTTGGTAATAGGTTAGCCAATTTCCTTCTCCTAATTCTCTTTTGTGTTTTGCTTCGGCCTGCGATATCCATAATGGGGTACTTCTGAAAAATCTTGCTTTATACTTTTCCCACGTTTTGATTAGAGCTGCCCTTATGTAGTGGTCGCTAAAACTCTTCTCTATTTTCCTTCTGCCATACCACAGGTAGCTGTGCCAACCTGCTCTGAGGTCGTGTCCCTCTAAAGTTAATGTCTGGCTATTCGCTAAGGTGGCCCATTCTTTTATTGACACTAAGTTGCAAGCTTCATAATAGATCTTAAAATCTGGTAATCCTAAACCGCCTCTTTTTTTTGTCATCTGTTAATAATTTCATACTGATTCTTGGTTTTCGGTTTTTCCAAATAAATTTTGATATGCCTGAATTCCATTTTTTAAACAGAAAATTATTCCGAATTACCGGGATGGTTTGAAATAGAAATAAGAACTGCAGAAGAATCACCATTTTTACTATTGCTATCCGTCCCAGGAAGGATATATTCTGCCTGTTCCATTTTTCCATATCTTTTTGGGTTTTTCCCCATAAAGTTTCATAGTTATTCTGTATTAAAGCTGTGTTACTTTTGGTGACATTAATACCCAAGTATTTTATTTTGTTTACTATTTGTATTTCTGTTGTTTTTTATAGAGTCATTTTTGTTTTTTCATCTATATTTTTGACTAGTAATTTTGTTTTTTGTTTGTTTAGTTTAAATCCAGCCAGTGTCCCAAAGTCTTCAATCGTTTTTAGCCAGTCCTTTATCTTATTTATTGGATCTTCAATGAAGCAGACGACGTCGGCGTAAGTTCTTAGTTTATAGTGCTGTTTCAAGATTCTCAGACCCTTTAGATTTGTGTCTTTGTTTACATTTCTTACCAAGGTTTCCATTACTAGGATAAAGAGTAATGGTGAAAGGGGACATCCCTGTCTTGTGCCTTGAGTGATTTTGATCGGCTTTCTTATCTCCTGGCCGTTAATTATTAGATTGGCTTCCTGATTTTTATAGATTGCCTCAATTACGTTTCCGAAGTGGTATCCCATGTCTAATTCTTTTATTAATAATTTCAGAAAATTCCAATTAAGTTTGTCGAAGGCCTTTTCGGCGTCGACAAACAATAGTGCTAGCTTTTTCTCATTATGTTTTTCGTAATATTCAATTACATTTATTAATGTTCTTGTATTATCTTTCAGTTGCCTGTTGGGTAAGAACCCTGATTGCTCTTTAGATATCCATTCTTTTAGGAATTCTTTTAGTCTTTCGGCCATAATTATTGTAAAGATTTTGTAATCATTATTTAGTAATGAAATCGGGCGGTAGTTTTTTATTTCCATTGGTTCTGTTCCTTCTTTATGTATTAAAGTTATGTTTGCCCTCTCCCATGATTTTGGAATTGTTTCATTTTTTAGAATGTTATTAGCAATTTCTTGGAACAGGGGGCTTATTTCATTTTGGAAAGTTTTATAGAATAAGGCGGAGAAGCCGTCGGGGCCTGGTGCTTTATTTCTTTTAAGTTTTTTAATGGCCATAACCTGCAACCATACGCTTTGTACACAATAAACTTGTTATCTTTTGTTGAAGACCGTCTCTTCTCAATTAATCTGCGTCTGTAAAGCCAGATCACATCGGTGGTACCTCAAATACCTCACATTGGTGGCAGTTACCCTAATTTACAAGTAATAATCGGCCTCCTCTATAATATATTCTTATACACAATTGAGGCCTGAGATTAATTCCTTCCATAATCATCCACACCTGTACAATTGGTTTGCGTGAACAGCACAAATACATATTTGCCACAAACCAAGTTCACAAGAACATAATTTTTCATCCAAAGATATTTCTTACCTTTGCATTCGCAGTTCCTTGGGGTCGAAGCACATTCCTCCATCTACAAAAACATCCCCATCATCTCCTGTTCGTTTTTCTCGCCTAGCACTCCGTTTTTCTTCACGACGGCATAGCTTCAATAACTGTTTCTCCTGTTCAGACTGAATTGTGACTTGGCAGCCATAATTGGGTTTACTGTTTTCTCCAGCAAACCTTTTGCACTGTTCTGCAACAGGGGAAAAAATAGAGCTATCAGTAGATCCCAACTATCTGTAAATATGAATCATAGCAAAATTATAAAAGTTCAAAAGTTGTCCACAACACTTAAATAAAGAAGTGCTATTTGCTATGAAAATTTTGAGTACTGCACCATTCAGATAGCTATAATTTAACAAAACAAAGACATTCATGCAACAAAACATCCTCATACACAACAGCATAAGAAGAAAGACACTCCACCATCAAAATACAGAAAAATGGTTCCTCAGAAAGAAAGTGGTTACAGATAAGCCAACCGTTTATACATTATACATTTCAAGAATACATGGTTAAATACTATTCCAAACTACTCCAAGAATGGACAACATGTGGCCCTTAAGATGTTACTAGACAGCAGATTACCTTCAGTCAACACATGATGGGAACTGCAAACTAACAAGCTCTGTAGTACTAAACGTTATCCATATCTCTTCTACTCCCTTAAGTATGTTTTTTAAGCAAACTCCTCACTGGGTATTTACCTTCATATCTAGATTGGAGAACCTGTGGTCCCAAAATGTTGGTCAACTCCAACACTAAAGCCCAGTCAGCATGGTCAATAATCACTGGTGTCGGAAGTTGCAATAGAGCAACATATAGAGGAGGGTCATGAGTTCCTCATTAGTGTTGTATCCAAATATAGATTTTAAAATGCAGGAATCTGAAAGCTGACTAATAGCCTCCATGTTGCTATATAAAGCTTTCAAAGCCAAAAACAACTGAGATATTTGATAGAGAAAAAACCCAGAGGATAATTTTGCCAGTTTTCAAGAATATGGCCATTTTAGACCCACGGGGGGCTAACATACAGGGTGGCTGAAAAGTCACAAAGGGGTTTCAATAACTATTATTTATTTATTTATTTATTTATTTATTTACTATGCTTCTATATTGCCATTCTCAGTCCGAGGGCGACTCATCGCAGTTTACAAAACGGCACAATTCGATGCCCACAACAGTACAAAAATAATTTAACATTAAAAACATTTAACACAGGTAAAAATTCATTACAATTAACATCAGTAACACAATAAAAACCATAAGTCCTCCATAATTATTACTATTATTATTATTATTATTGAACATATTTGTATCCTGCCTTTCTGACCCCGAAGGGACTCAAGGCGGCCTTACAACAGGCAGCAATTCAATGACATACATACATGTATCAAATAAGTAATTACAATTAAAACCAAACAACAAAAACATGAATTATTAAAATATCAATTAAAATCACGCTATACAAAACATAATCCAGGGCTGTTCCATTTGTCAATCACATTGATTCAAGGTCACTTATTGTACTGCTCCAAAAAGCTTGGTCCCAAAGTCACATCTTAAGTTTTTTCCCCCCTGAAGGTCAGGAGAGAAGGGGCTGATCTGATTTCATTGGGGAGGGAGTTCCACAGTCAAGGGGCCACCAGTGAAAAGGTCCTTAATGTTTTGTTTTTAATTACAACCCCAGAACATCATATAGAGTATTTATAGAAAAAAATTACATTATGTATAAAATCTTTTCAAACAAAATGTTCAAACGTTATAAATACATCAGACACCTTTGTGACTTTTCACTCACCCTTTAAATAAGGGGAAAGATAGGTTAAAAATTGGTGGAATGGCATAAAATTGTGAGTGGGGCCAGAATGGAAACCCAGGGAGGCCACAGACCTGGTATAAATGAACCATAATTATGTTTGGTATGTGATATATTCATATGACTTACATTATGAATATTTAGAAAGCTCAGTTCTCAAAAAATTGAAGCAATTAATAAAGTGATCTGTGATCAGACAAATTGTTTTCTAAAACAAAATAAAAGTATTATGATAAAAATATGAATGTTTTAAAAACTTAAACAGGAATTAAGGCATGCAACAATGGGGAACTCTATCCAATAAAACTTTACCTTGCAAAGATTGCAGCTTATCGTTTGGTCCAGAGTAAGATCTCTCTAGAATCATAGCTCTATTTTGTAGAAGCTTCTCTATGAGTTCAAATCCTTCTGATCCTAGCAACTCAAACAACTGTAGAGAGGAAAGGGGGGAAAAAAGCACAACTGCTTTGGTCTTATGAATTTTTGTGGACACAATATAATCCATAGAAGTTTGCTCATTCACAATTTGAAAGCCCTGGGCAAGAATTCTAGGCGCGCATGGAGCTCCCATAGCTCGCCAGGACATATGGAACTCCATGTGTTAGCATGGTGTTCTGTTCTTCCGTAGCTGCCTTTGGGGATGTCTTACCATGGATGAAGAGCTGATTTTCAGAAGTGAACATTTTCATTAATTTACACAAATAGATTCCATACACAATCAAGCAGCAGACATGCACTAAGCAGATGGCTTGGGCTATCAACAGTGACAAAACCAATTGTCTATGAGGAATCCAATCCAGAACAAGATTCACAAGCCAGACTCCACATCAATTTTTGGCTAAACACTGTAAGCTGAGTCTGGATTAAGCCAATTTTTAAATTGTCAAAATATCAATACTGCTTTTTAAAGAATGGCAAGATAATTTATAATGATTGGAGATCAGAGAAGCAGCACAAACATTGGTCTTTTTAGCACAGCCTAAAAACAATTTCAGGGATTTCCACAGGCCACTGAGCAATACCTGGAGGCTACCTGAAAGTGGCAGTTCATGCACAAATGCCATAGAATATTCAGTGTCACTTCTCCATTAACACAGGCCCAAAATACCACAAAGGCAACAGAGTCTGTTTGATTTTGCAAACTAGGCAAGATCAGCCATGGTTTATATTTATATAAGAGACTGTCAAGAACTACCAGTAGCTACGGGATATATTTCAGAGAAAGGCAATGGCAAAACTAACCTAAGAAACCCTTATGAAATTCATAAGCCAAGAAGTCACTTGAAGGCATGTCTGAGTGAGTGTATGTAGTTCCTTGTCCATCTATGGTGACTCAATAAATTTCGTAGGGTTTTCTTAGGCAAGGAACACTCAGGTATTGTTTTGCCAGTTCCTTCGTCAAATATATAAACAGGCTTTCCATTCTGAATTACAGCTGATAGCCATTGTAATGCACTCAACATAAAATATACAAGCACACAAGTTAAAGAATCAAGGGAATCTAAATAAATAGTTTTTACCAAGATCCTCTGTCTTCCATACAACTATCAGGAAAAGCTCATCCTTCTTAGTTTTATTATATACTGACAGAGAAAGTTCAAGGAAAAATACAGGTTCACATTCTAAGGAGCTTACAATACAGATTTACACAGTGGGAACTAGAAGTGAATGTGACAAGGGATAAACGTAAATAAGTGTCATTCCTTGGGCTTTGACTTCATTTCAGTTAGGAAGTGGGTAAGGGAGTTAACCCAAAGATTTCAGGGAAAACTGACAGAAGAATGAGAGATGGCATTCCTAGAGGTTCCAAAAGGACATTCCAATCATAATGAACACACGTCAAGAGTAGAAAGACTTCAAAGAGGGCAGGAAATTGTCATTTTTAGATCTCTAGGGGTAATATTGCCTCTTAAAACCTGGTGATCAGATTCATACTATGAAGTTTACTATGAATAATAATAGTTATTTTCCCTTTTTAAAAAATAATGTATCTCATCTCTGCTCAACACAAAAATCTTCATCTCCCAAATCCCTTTGTGTTTGCCAGTGAACTTCAAAGTGAAGACAGCTTTCACTTGCATAGCAGTTTGGAAAAGGCAGAGGAGACTTCTGTGATTTTGTTTTCTTCTTACTCTTCTGGCCATATTATAATGCAATAAATAAGTAAGTCTTTTGTACATTCCAGGAGAGTACAACTGGTAACAAGAAAAGAAAAAGCCTTTACTAGCAAACTATGCCAGTATTGCTTCCCGCCTGTAAGTCAAATGAGCTGGATTCTGTTCTTTTATTTAAACCTCTTTCTCTATCTATCACTCTGAGAAGTCCAGGGGAAATTGATTTCAGGAGAAAATGTACAGTTCTCCTCTGTTGTTGCTTGTTTCTTTGAGAATAAACAACTGAAATTCAGTACATGGACTTCATGGTGATGTAGAAATACATCTCCCAAAACCTAGGGCCTATAATGATGAATATTGTATTAACCATTGTTTAACAACTAATTCACCTAAGTTTATTCTCTTCTTAATTTCAAAATAATTATTTGAAAAATAAACTGCCAGTCAATATTGTTATACCTGCAAAATTACACCAGTAAAAATATTTATGTAAATTAATGCCTTAACTTTATTTCACTCAAATATAACAGGATGTCGAATTTCAATTAGTCTTATTTTTGACTCCACATGTTGTTTGTGTATTTTATACACTACTAAATAAAATGTACTTCTTTATAATCACAGAATCACTGAGTTGGAAGATACCTCATGGGCCTTCCAGTCCAACACCCTGCCAAGAAGCAGGAAAACCACATTCAAAGCAAAGGTAAGAAATATCATTGAATGAAAAGCAACCCTCCCCCCGCCCGACAGATGGCAATCCATCCTCTGTTTAAAAGCCTCCAAAGAAGGAGCCTCCACCATACTCCACCACACCACACTTTAAATCAATAATATGTACTAACAGCTATTTCTGAATTCCTTTTGGGCTGAAAAGATGACCATATTATGAGCACACAAATAAAAGTCCAAAATTGATCAGGTATTCATGAAGAATTGTGGAAAGAAGCCTCCAACGAGGGGAGAAGGAGTCAATTTCTTAATAGAAAGTAAACATTTATGTAAATCCCTTTGATTTAGCCAATCTATCTGAAACTTGGAATTAAGACCTGGTAGAATTCTTACAACACTGGCACTATATTTTAAGTATGAAAAATCACATATGGCACAAGTCTGCAAAAACTAAATTATTTTCCCAATACGTCATTCACGTTTTCACAGCCTTCATTCGTTTGACACAAAGACAAGGAAATCATTTGTTAAGTGTCAAAAAAGTATGATTAACATTAATTAAGATGGCAAAGCCATGATACTCAGCTATCAACACTCCAATGAATCATAGTAATCTCTTTAACAACACGTAAAATGTTGAAAAAATCATCACAACACTAACAAATACAGCTGTCCTGAAACTATTCTGATGAAATTCAGTATGAAATGATACTAGCATAATAATTTCCAGAAAACCAACCTCCTATGTGTTAATCCATATTCTGTATACTGTGTAACCATAGGATACTCCTTTTATGACTTATAAATAAGAAATAATCTATATTTTGCATAAAATAGTTCAGAACTACAGAAAGGAGCCCTGGACAGTTTTCAAATAATAACTCATCATGCAATTCTGAAAGTCACTTTCCAAACTAAAGTACTTTTAATAACTTTGTTTTCCATATGGAAAAAGGTCTGTTTTTTTAAAAAAAATTACTATACCTAAAATACATATTTACAGTCCAATCACTATAACCACATCCTTCATTTTTATTGATTCTAATAAGATGGAAAATTACTGCAGAGTTAAACTCTCAGATCCTATTTGCAACTAACTATCTAGGGAAAATCAGCCAACTCTCTCTCTATATCACAAGAAAAAGAAAGGGAATGATGAAGAATATAGAGATAAATTCGATGAAGAAGACAACATGGAGTATTGCCTAAAATTACTGTCATGTGCCTGGAGATTCCTATGCCTGATTGAACTCCAACAGAAAATAGTACATCTTATCAGAAGCTTCTAATGACATCACATTTCAGGTATCTACACTATTTCCAACTTGTTTGTTGGAACTACAAGGTGGCCTGCACCGCATATAGTATACAGGGTGTTTGAACCCATGCCAACATGGCTAACAATCAGAATTACTATGATCATTGTAGCATTGCTTCATAACACTTGAGACCGTTGAGAAAAAGCCCTTTATAACATCAACCAATAGTTTTCTGTATATACACACAGATGAAATTGCCAAAAGACCACAAAGAGGGAAAGGCCAATTACATCTTCTCAGTCTACTTGAGTCAACAATTAACGGCAATTTCATAAAGAGCTGCAGTTATCCTGAACTATGCAAGCAGTTACCAACATCATTGTATGTGCATTAACCTAAAGTAATAGGGATTAAAACCAATTTAGCTTTCATCATTTAGATGACTATTTGACTTCTTTCCTATGCCAACATGAATGCTCAATTTTGCTATTAATATTACATTTTTGAGTAGTACATTTTTGAGCAAAGCAAATGTAATTTTATTATATTATTTACTGCCACCTACCATCATACTATAAAAATTAACACTAAATACCAATTTTATTACATAATTTTACACATTTCAAAAGAAACCAATTGATTATATAGCAAATCAGCATCTTTGTCCATGGTAGGACACAAAACAGCTGAGATCAGAGTGCTCCAAGAAAAAATATTTCATTCTCTTTCAGTTCAGTAAAAAAAAAAATGATTGGAAAGCATCTGGGAATCTTGGATGTCAATTTACTGAATGAGACAGAGCAAGAAGGAAAGTGCAATACTGAGGAACTAAGCTTTGGATGCTGTTAAAGAGTGATGTGCCAGCAGGGTACATGGGTAGGAAGGTGGGGGGGGGGGAGGGGGTTGGAAGCATCTGGTTTGCAACTATCAAAACCCACTTTGTTTCCATCTGCAACCAACAGCATACACTAGATTTTTCATGCATTTTGTGCTGCTATTTTGAATACATACAGAGTTGTGAATTCATTCAAATTACATGTTCAAAAATTATGTTACATTTTATATCTGAGGCATGTAAATGGTCCAGTCTTTTATAGTTATGCCACTTTCCTAAAGAAGATCTGTTCGAGTGAATTCTTATAGAAAAACACAATTTCAGGAAATCATACAGATGACACAGAAAGCAAAAGAAAAAAAACATTAAGTAAAAATTCAACAATTTAACATTTTTTAAATATACCCAGGTTTTTGTTCTTTCAAAGAGCTGCCCTGTTCACAACATAAACGTCTCCCAAGTTCACCTCATGTGGCTCATCAAATTTAAAGTTCGTTCGTTCCTAAAGTGGAATATCAAATAATCATCTTTTAAGATGCCCAAGAATATA